GTATCCATTATTTAAAATAAGTTTAAATAAGTCTCCTTAAATATATAATAGGTTTTTTTTTTATTGCAGAAAGCTGATGTCTTCAAATAAAAACAAGAAGTTCTCAGAAAAATGTATAATTAAAAAAAAAAAAAAATAGATTTATAAGAGAAGAGGACACATTTCAGAGAGTTAGTGACAGCTATCAGTTAGTAATTTAAGCTGTAAAACAATAAAAATAAAACAAAGTAGACTTATACCAGAAGGTGATTATTCCCACATCACAGTATTTTATCATCAGCAGCAGCATCAACTTTATTTATAAAGCACTTTAAGACCAGCCACAGCTGAAACTAAGAGCTGGACATCGGTTAAAAACAAGATAAAATGAAGCATAAAACAAAGCTAGAAAGCCAAGCACACAATGAACTGTTTATGTTTCCAACACCTTGTAAATATTAGCAGCATTTAAAGGAAAGAACCTCTGGTGTTCCACCCCAAGGTTGTCTGTGGCCCCCATTTGAATCCTTCCTAGACACGCCCCTGGCGAAATGTGCTGTTTTACAAATTGCATTTTGGGAAACACTAAAAATTTTGCATTAATTCTTTTTAATGTTGCGTTAAAAGATAACTGTCATTTACATCCCAAACAGAAATCCTCCTGTGGCGGTCCGGTCCTGGATCGTGCTGACAGAACCAAAGCCGTACGGTCATCCAGAAAAACCGTGGACCGCGCAGACCGCACGTTCAACTCCCACATGTGAAGCGCCTCAGTGAAACACTTAGAATCAGACGAGATGCCGACAAAGCTTCACGGCTCACGGTGTTTCACTCTGGTAATTAATCTGAAAGGATAAAAAAATCTTGTCCGGATGTCAAACTCTATGAAAACTTGTAAATGCTGTATTATTTATAAAATAATCTGCTTAATAAGAGTCTGCACTACAGCTTCTCTAGAAGGTTAAAACGTTGTGATGTCCTGATGTAAATCTGCTGTATGAACTAATAGAGCTGTAAAATAAATATATTCCATCTGCAGCCAATTAATGTAGATAAAAGCTATGCAACATAATCAAATATTACTCAAAGTACTGGAGATGCCACCTAACCTTGGACTTGAAAGGGATAAATCTGACACTTTGGAGTGACGTCCTGGGAAATGGTTATGAACAGTTAACATCTTACCTGTTGCAGATAGCTTTTCGAGCGTGATCTGTTTGGAGAAACGGAGTTTCAATCTGACGAGCTAACAGCCAGTCTGCTGCCTTTTTAAATAGTTTCATAGCAGATCACGCTAACAGTACTTTAAAACCCTCTCCGCTGCCGACGTGTTAGCGTTACGCCGCTGTTTGTGTTGATAGCAGTGGCAGCTAACTCTGGCACTTCCAGCAGAAATGTTAAATTTTTGACGCAATTTTCAGATAATGCACGTTAAACAGACGAGTTAAAAGTTTAAATCAATAAAGATAAAGATCTGAAATGTTTAAGATGTTTAAGGCCACCTTAAACAACTCATATCTTCAAAATGTCATAATAAACAGGCCTGTCACGATAAATTTTGCTGGGTGATTAATTGTCTCAAATTATTGCGATAAACGATAATATTGTTTGAAATTTGACTATAATTAGTCATTGTTGTCAAATTTAAGAAGAAATGTTTAATTTGTTTTGAGTGTAGTAACTTTTTTCAACCACCGGATGGCAGTATAAGACAGTTTGAACCGAAGGATGGATAGTGAGGGAGCGAGCAGCGTGTCTCTTTAAGAAAAATGGGAGGGAGGCCCCTTGATGTGACATGGGCTGTCTCTCTTTGGTTCTTAAAATGGCGGACATTCAGTGTGGTTTGAGCTCTTTAGCATTTTTCACACAAAGCTTTTAATAAAAAATCAGTAAACAAGTTCTCAGATTCTTTTTGCAGAGAAAAACGTTCTAGACGAAGGCACGGGTTTCAGCCGCAAATTTTAGAGCTTCGGCAAGACGGAGGTTTGTCTGAGGTCGGCCTGTTAGCTTAGCTCGTAGCTTAGCTTCTCAGTTTAGTAGAAGAAAGAGAGACACGATGAAACAATAAAGCCGAAAGATGAAAATGAGGTTGATCATTTTCATTTATCATATCATTGATTTATTGTTTATCACGAAAGGCCTAATAATAAAGTAACATAATTTAATTATTTATTGTTAAATTTTTGCTGGAGGTGCCTTTAGACCACACAGGAAGTGCTAGAGCTACAATTCCACAAGAAATAGCGGTGTAAGCTAAAACTGGTGGCGCTGTAAAGGTTTAAAAATAAACTTTGACATAAAACAACAACATTTTGGAGATTAGAATTGTTTTAAGTTGTCCACTTTGGTTTTAGTTGTGTTTGGACTCCTAAACTGAGGCTGTTCACAAAGCAATAAACAACAGGTGAGATATTTATTCTTCACAACTTCTCCACAGAACCTCATTGTAAATAGACCAGAATATCCCTTCAGTATTTTTATAGCTGTTTTTGCAGAAATTATTTATTTATAGTGAAAAGCCTAAATAGGTTTGAATAAAGCAAACATCACGACAGATCTGATGGCCGTAATAAATAAAAATAATAAAAGTAGCTAAACCTGAGATGTATTTCAGGTAAAGGACAGAAAGAAGTGGAGCTAAAGTCAAAGAGCTGCTGTGGGTTATTTTACATTCAGACAAGGCCGTTTATTAAACGTCTCATATGCTGTTTATTGAGTGCAATTCCCATAAAATAACATTTTGCAGTGAATTTGTGCTTTTCTGTCCAAACTTCTGCGTAGAGCATAATTTAAAATGTTATTTCATTAATAATGTTTAATAAACGGACTGAACGAGACTCAAAAGTTTCTTTTTATTTGAAGTGTTGAATTTCTCCATTAAACCTATAACATTATTTATCTGTAAAAATCCCTTCAAATTAATAATTTTGACATAAAAAGGAAACACAAAGTGTCAAATATGGATCACCAAAATCTCTGAAATCCTTTTCGTGTGTTTGTGCTGACATCCGGAGGCCGAACGCTGCAAAGACCCCGACAATAAAGGTCACGTCTCTGGGAAAATGTAAATTATTTATCCAGATGTTGCAAAGATCCGTCACACTGGATGTTCTAAAGAAAAATAAAAGTTACTTTCATTGGTTCTCAGTTCAGTTGTAAAAATAATTAGCTAATAACTGAGACAGCAGCTGTTATGGTGTGACGACAGAGAGAAAGAAACCACGGCCTCTCCAGAACCTGACACTTGCCCGATGGTTCTGGACGGATCCAAACCGCAGACCACAGCACGCAGCAGCACATCATGACCGGAGCAAACATAACGAGCAGCCGAATGAACACACCGGCATTTACGGCATCAACGAAAATACGTTGACTAGAACTAAAAAGCCGAAACTAAAACAAACTAGAGAAATTACATCCTGTAAAAATTCAGTGTGAATGCTTACAGCTGAAAAACGGCTGAAATGAAAGAACAAGCCGAAATTAGCAGACGAAAGCAGAAAGAACACATTCGCTGAATAAAGTTAAATAAGCAGAAATTAGCAGAAAATATAGTAAATTAACTAAAAAGGGTGACATTAGAAAAAAAAAACTGAAAAGGCAGAAAGAAGCTTAAACAAGCAGAAGGAAGTGAAAGGAGCTGAAATGAACTAAAAATGTGGAATTAGCTGAAAAAGCTCAATTTTGCACAAAACAGCTAAAATGTAACTGAAAGGAGCAGAAATAAGTAAATTATGTTGAATGTCACAGAAATCACCATCAAAAATTTGAGTTTATCTGAAAACAGCTGAAATTTGCTTGATAATGCTAAAAAAAAGTAGCTGAAATGTAGAACAAGCTTAAATGAGCAGAAGAAAGCAGACAGAACAAACGTTCGCCCAATGAGGCAGAAAAAAACAGAAATGAGCAGAAAAAATGGAAATGATCTGGAAACAGCTGATCCTAAAGTGTTCCAGTCCCTCCAGGGTGTCCTGGCTCTTCCCTGGGGTCTCCTCCCAGTCCGACATGCCTGGACCACCTCAACTGGCTCCTCTCGATGTGGAGGAGCAGCAGTTCTGGGGGGGTTGTTAGAATCTGGTGAATCATGGAAACTTTATCTGACTTTATAGAATCATGTTGTGGCTGCGACATCAATTGATGAACATTTGAGGAGTCAAACTGCTGAACGACAGAGTCAGGTGGTTTCAGCATATTCCAGTTTAAGTAACCAGAAGTAATTCAAAATGACTGGAAGGTGCTGAGACATTACTTAAAGACACCAGAACAAGATGGAGCTGAGGGAGGACGATATCTGCCGTTCTTAAGGAAAAATTATTGGACAGCAGTACGTTCAAAACCAACTGATCAAACTGTTTGGGAATGGATTTTCCCAAATCAACAGAGCACTGCAGATGATCTTTAGCAAAGATAGTTCCTCCTTCCTTCTCCAGCTTCAAGGTGGAGGTGGGAGTGCCTCAAGGATCGGCTCTGAGCCCCTTCTTGTTTGCTCTGGTGATGGACCGACTAACAGATGAGGTCAGGCAGGAATCCCCGTGGACGATGATGTTTGCAGATGATATTGTGATCTGTGGTGAGAACAGGGAACAGGTGGAAGAGAACTTGGAGAGGTGGAGGCATGCACCTGAAAGAAGAGGAATGAAAGTCAGTCGTAGTAAGACAGAGTCCATGTGTGTGAATGAGAGGGAGGAGGTGGAACAGTGAGACTACAAGGAGCAGAGGTCACAAAGGTGCAGGGCTCAAGGACTTGGGGTCCACTGTCCTGGAACATGGAGAGTGTGGTGAAGAGGTGAAGAAGAGAGTCCAGGGAGGATGGAGTGGATGGAGAAAAGTTCACAAGACAGTGGTGAGACCAGCTATGTTGTATGGTCTGGAAACAGAGACATGGACAAAAAGACAGGAGACAGAACTGGAAGTGGCAGAAATGAAGATGTTGAGGTTCTCCTTAGGAGAGACAAGGATGGAGAAGATCAGGAATGAGATCATCAGAGGTACAGCACAGGTTGAACAACTGGTTTGGACATGTCCAGAGGAGGGACAGTGGTTTGGGCATGTCCAG